GTGGGCACCTCCCAGAACATTGTTTTGTGCCACTCCCAACAGAAATACTCCAGGTGGACAACTTCAGCAATCAGGAGCTTCTCAGTTGCTCATAGAAAATCCCACCTTGAAGTTTACAAAGACTTATGGGTAGAAAAGCCACACTGAGTAATTTACTACACCGCAGTGCGTAAAGAGTATACAGTCATGTACCATACAACATCCACTCAGGCACCTTCCAACCACAAATACATCCATGGTCCCATAAGGTTATAATGGAGTTCAGAAATCTCAAACAGAGAACGGGGCATAACACAACAGCTTCCTGCACACAACAAGTATATCTTATGTCTCTTGTACACAAACGGATTGTGATGCAAGAGTAGAAAGGTATAGTACATCTATAACGTATAATACCTAAACAGCTATGTTACTGGCTTATGTATGTACTGAACTATACTTTCTATTTAAAGTTTACTGTCTAACAGTGCATGTTTCAACTCATAGGCAGCAGCACCCAATTTCATATATCATGTATCTCGAGTGCTGCAGCATTATCTAATTTTCTCCTGAAGATATTATTGTGAAGTGCATCATGACTCTCGAATGCAGGAAAGCCAATGCTAGTGACAGGAGCAGCAAAAGGCAAAGGAAAAGTATCAATTTGGAAGTGAAACAAAAGGTATTAAAAACATGAAAGTGGAAAGACAGTGAATGCTATTGTGCACAACTTAGGCATGATGGACTTGATAGTCACAATCTTCAAAAACAAAAAATTGTGTAAGCTGTTAAGAGACCGGCTCCATTGAAAGCTACAAGACTAACAAAAATGTAAGAGGGACCAATATTAGAACTGGAGAAAGTGCTAAAGGTGTGGATTGAGGGACCACACACAAAAGCACATCTCTCTTAGCATGTTGATGATCTTTGCTAAGGACAAAGCGTGTTTGAGATGATCTTTGCTAAGGACAAAGCATGTTTGAGATGCTTAAAGAAAAAGTTGATTCCGACTTCATAGTGACTTCCATTGGGTTTCCAAAATGGTAAATCTTTACGGAAGTAGACTGCTCAGTCTTGCTTCCATGGAGTGGCTGTTGAGTTTGAACCAACCTTCTGGTTAGCAGTCAGATGCCTTAGGCACTTTGCTATCAGAGCTCCTTTTCTCTAAATGACAGTAATCACAAAATAATGGTATGACATTTGGCTGCACAGAGGGAATGGAAGGAAAAAGAATCTGTTGTGTGAATATGGAAAACAATAAAAAGAAGACACTACATAGTAAAAAAAAGTCAAAAATTTCCTGCAGTAGATAAGTCCATTTGCAAACTCAGTAGATCAAAACTATATCTCTTAAATGGGAAATACATCTCATGAAATATATTAAATCATTTCTCATTACAATATACAAAGGTCCCTATCATAAGTTCTTTTTTTTTTAAATAGATAAACTGAAACTGATAGCTCAAAATATTATATTATCTAGTTATAAAATTATCTAGTTATAAAATCTAGCTACTAAATGGGTTTGGTTTGTGCTCAACTTCTAATGTAAAGATTTGGCAGAGCTCAAACCAACCCAGCAGCACCACAGAAGAAAGGCCTGGTAATTTGCCAGAAAACCCTATGGAGCAGCTCTGCTCTGTCATACATGGGATCACCATGAGTCAGAATTGACTCAACAGCAACAGGTTTAGTTTTGGGGTTTGTTACCAAATAAGAACAGACTTTTTAAAATACATTATAAAAGCTAGATCATATATAAAGTTTATTTAAATCAATTCAAATTTTTCAAATAGTCTACCTGAGTCCTCTTGGGCTTCATGAGTTTCACCATCATCTGTTACCTCTAATTCTTTCACAAAATTTGAGGGAAACAGTCCCGACTTGCTGTTTAGGGTTCCACTCCACCAACCTTCTTCTACCTGAAAGAGTTCACAACTCAAAAATAATAAGATATAACTTATTTTAAACAAAACTCTTCCCCCTATGAGAAAATTAGGCTACATAAAAGAATGAGTAAAGATTTAATGATACTAATTAATCCCAAGAAAACACAACAAAGAAAAAAATGTATTTTAAAAGCTAAATCTAAGCAGACTGGATTAATCTTATATGGACTTAATCATACATCGATAGCACTTTGCAACATTTACAATGAGAATTTATAATCTACTGCCATCTATGAAGTAAATAATTTCCATTAAAGTATCAAATAACCATCTGTTATGTTTTAACAGCAAGAAGTAAGTAAACTGTAGTCTGGAATTTCACTTTCTTAAATACTACTGAATTTTAGTTTGTACTTATAACAAATAGTATTAAGATATTTGGAAATTTGTGATTAGAAAAAATATAAATTCACACAGAAATACAGCATCTTTTATATAAACAGTGATTCATAATCCAAGTATAATACAAGAATCACTTATTTTTAAAAATGCAGATGCTTGTCTCTACTAAACCTCCTTGACTCCCATCCTGTTCAACCACAGACAGTCTCATAAACTCTTTAGGAAAAAAATTTACCCTCACTAGTAATGCGTTACTTAATTTCCATAAAGCTATTTAATCAAATGTCTAAGGCATCTGACTGCTAACAGAAGGTTGGTGGTTCAAACTCATCAGCTGCTCCACAGAAGGAAGATGGCCATAAAGATTTGCTGTAAGAAACCAAATAGGGGTTGCTATGAGTCAGAAGTGACTTGATGGCAATGAGTTTGGTTTTATTTTTTTAAAAAAACTATATAACTTCTGCTAGAAATGCTGAGATGATTTAATGAGCAAAATCTATTTTTCACAGAGATAACCATTCACTATGAAAATTCACTTAGCAGCAGTAAGTATATACAACATAACTACAAAAACATTTTTTCTGTTTAAAATAATTAAAAAAATTTTCTCCCTCGTTATAATTACAAAGCAAACTTTTAATAATTATTCAACCAATAGGCATAATATGTATGAGCCAGTGTTCATTGCTAAGACACATATAAATTTCCATAAAAGAAAATCCACGTCCTTGAATAAAACAATCTAAAGAAAACAAAAACTAAACAGGTAGCTTATAATGTAAAGAGGTGTTACAAGGAAAGTATGTACAAATGCTGTAGTAGCAGAGGTAGAGTTTGAAAGAATCAAAAGGTTCTCCTAAAAAGAAATACCAGAAGGGTTACACATTGAAGGATGAAAAAGAATTTGAGTGAAAAAAAAAAGTATGGGAAAAAATATAGTGGCATAATAAATAAAGGATTAAATCATGGAAGATGGGGCTGAAATACAGGTAGCTAGGTAGCATAGTACATAAGGCACTTGACTGCTAACCAGAAGGCTGGCGGTTCAAACTCACCAGTCACTCCATGGAAGGAAGACTGGGCAATCTACTTCTACAAAGATTTACCACCTCAGAAACCCCGAAGGGTTGCTATGAGTTGGAACTGACTCCATGGCTGTGAGTTTGGTTTTGGTTTGGACTATAAGCTCTCAGCAGAAAGAAGGAGAAGGCAGTTAAGTGTGAAGAGTTTAGACTTTTTAGACTTCAGGACTGGGAATTATTCAAGCCAAGGAATATGTAGACTAAACTGGAACAAAAGAAAGGTAGAAAGAAAAGCAGACTTTTATCTATCTGTACATGACACCCCAAACTGGAGCAACTGAGTAGTGAGAGTTATTTAAGAAATTTTATAGAAAAAAAAGGTAGTATAATGATAAAGAACGCTCAAGAACAGACTGCCTGGGTTCAAATCCTGACTCCCCTGTACACCAGGCACATGTATTTGAGCAAAGATGCCTGCAGCAAGATAGCCCATGCCACATGTTCTTCTGTAATGTGACCCTGATAATTCTCCTACCAAGAAGTGGTGATCTTTGTCCCTTCCCTTCAATCTAGGTAGCTTATGAAGCATTTGTAAAGAATAGAATTTGTTGAAAATAACACTGTACCACTTCCAAGGCTAAATTATAAAAGGCGATACAGCTATCAACACAATCTCTGAAAGGTTTACAAGGAGCCCTGAACTGCTATGCAGTAAGACCAAATATCCTGAGACCCTTGAGGCCTCCATAGTAGAAGAGAGCTAAGTCAATGGCTCTTGGATCAGCAATCCTAGTCTTCAAGCCCTGTTGGTACCAGCCATTTGAGTCTAGCCACCCTTCTTGAATCCTTCCAACTGAGGCCCTCAGATATCACAGAACAGAGATAACTCATCTCTGCTGTCACCTTTCAGAATTTTTAACCCACAGAAGCCCTAGGCATAACGAAACAGATGGTCCTTGCCACTAAGTTTGGGGTGGTTTGGCACGCAAAAGCAGTAACTGAACAGGCGATTACTTATCTTTTGTGATTCAATCTCTTCATATGTAATATGGGGATAAAATTTCCTATCTCGTTAAGTTGTTGAAAAGTTTAAAGGAAATGATAAATGTGAAACATTTCACACAGTGCTTATGACATAAAGCAGACTGAACAAATGTTAACTATCATTATTGACACTTGATGGAAATAAAACAAAATTACTTTTTGTATAAACACATTAGAAGTTGATCTAAACATAAACATTAGTGATAAATTGTGTTATATGGTATTACGACACAAAAACCAATACCTGCAAAAATATGATATCCATACATATACTCTGAAAACAGAATCTTCAATTGCCAAATAAAACTTCAATACTCCTTCACTAGTAAAAGCAGCAATGTGAAAGGTTATTTTTAAAATATTTTTTTTAATTTTTGGATGTGCTAATTCTTTACAAGGCGATGCTTTTTTAGGATTCTGCTTTTGTATTTCTTACTATGCAAAAGGTAAAATTCCTTCTATTTCACGGCTTTGTGCCTAAAATACTAAATGAATCAAAGAAAAGGCTATTTATGCACTCAGCTACTTTGACTAAATCAGAGTTTAGAAAAAAAGAAAAAAAATCTTTTATTCCTAAGGGTAGGAGATTCAAACACAGGACAAAGATATTAGTTACAGCAAGGATACATAAAGCTTTATTTCTACAGATAATACAATAATCCAAAAAAAAATCATTGAAGATCCATTCTTAAAGTCTGTATCTTTAAGTTTATATTAAAAAACAGTAAAATGTGCAAAATTTCTCACAGAAAAAAATACTGTTACAAAGCATCAATTCATCTCTAGCATGTTTTCCTTACCTCTTCATTAATATCAATAATATCTCCTATTTTCAGCTCCAGTTCATCCTCATTTTGTGGAATGTACTCAAAGAGAACTTTACACTGACGTTTCTTAATCTCTAAAGGAAAAGTACAATAAAAACTTAGATGTTGAAAGAGCATTAAAATAAACACTAGCATCTTTATTCACATACGGTGTATACACAGGACTGAAGTTAATGAATAAAAACAGAACATATGAGCATTTTAAACCAGCTTGTTGTTGTTGTTATGTGCCATCGAGTCGGACCCGACTCATAGCCACCCCTCCTTGGGTTTCCGAGGCAGTATCACTACGGAAATAGATAGCCCAACCTTCCTTCGGAGGAGTAGCTGGTACGTTTGAATCACCAGCCTTCTGGTTAGCAGTTAAGTGCTTTAGGCACTACACTACCAGAGCTCCTTCTAAACCAGCTAACTACAATCAATCCTAGTTAGTTTCCATTCCATTCCCACACTAGTCTATTCATCTCCAAATAAATTCAAACCATTAAGAATACGGTATAAATCTCCCAGCAATGAAAGCTATTTATAAATCTGATCCCACAAATTACACAAAAGTAGAATATCCACTGACAATTCTGAAACTAGAAATACAGACAATGAAAGATATGGTTGGTACACCAAATTTATTATAAACAAATCTTTTAGACCAATGATTTCCAACTACTTCCTAATCAAAGTCCAGAAGTACTTAAAGTGTATTACTTTTAAAGAGTGTCTGGGGTGAGAAAGACGCAAAATGTACAAAGTAAGATTTATTATATCTTCTACAGTAGCTATTTTCTGACAGATAATAATCAAACTATGGTGGAGATAAAAATAATTTTACTTTAGGTTTTCAAACAAGCTTTATTTCTTTGGACAAGTAATAATTATTTAAAACCATCCAGGCTTGTGGTTCTCAACCCATTTAAAACTCTAAGAATTGAGAAATCAGACTTGCCCCCATCATTAATGCAGCCATGGGCAGATGACCAAGTATAACTGACTAGATTCCTTCTTGCTTATCAAGTCAGACTAGTAGCATCAGTATCATCTAAGAGCATGTCAGAAATACAGAATCTAAGACTCCACCAGAGATCTACTGAATCAGAAACTATTCCTACAGGGCAAGATTTCCACATAATTCTCAATCCTGGACTCAATGGTCTAGTCACAATTATCTTTAATTCCTTTAAAATGGCATATCTTATTCCGTCTAGGAATTAAATATACTTTTCTTTAGTTAAGTAAACTTTACCTTCATCCCTGAAGCCCACCTTTGTCTGCTTTCAGCTTATCTTTAGATCTCAGGTTAGAAGGCACTTTCTCCGGATAGCTTTTGGTTCAGGTACTCTTCCTGTGTGCTTCCACAGTACCCTGTACTTGCTCTAATGACTACAACAACCTCCTTTTCATTTATTTTTTTCCTTCTATAATAATATTTTCTTGTGTGTGCCCTCTCTACTCTGTAGGCTAAAGAAAAATGGGTAGTTTGTTAAAAGCTCTGTCCCCCACCCTCCCAATCTAGCATAGTGCCTGGCCTATAGTTGGTATTCAAAAGGAGCTATGAATTAACCAATAAACAAAACCAATACCATCTAAGTATGATACATTATATTAGTATACAGTGTCACGCCTACATTCTAACAATCGCTCTAGGACCAAAAATCTCAAGATTTTTCTTAGTAAATGTAAATGCATACTTAAGGAACTAACAGGACATGTAGAGACAGAAAACATAACCATTGAGCAATTAGTAACAGAAAGTGAATATACAATAAGATAGTAAAATACATTCAGCTTGTGGTTGTTGTCTTGTGCCACTGAGTCGATTCTGACTCATGGTAACCCCATGTGTTACAGAGGAGAATGACTCTATATGGTTTCACGGTTGTATTCTTTATGGAAGTAGGTCATAGGTCTTTTCTTCCATGGTCCTACTAGCTGTGTTCAAACTACTAACCTTTCAGTTAGCATCTGAGAGCAAACTGTTTGCACTACATAAGAATATGTAAAATACCTGGTATAAAATAGAAATCACCTAAAAGTTTAGAAAAAGAAGGTTTGAACTGTAACAGATGTGGAAGGCTTTGAAGAAAAAAATTGGTAGTACAGTTACACAATGAAAGATGAAGAAGATGCAGCAAAGTGGGAAAGAGGTGGCAGATAGTCTAGATGAAGGAAACAATTTTACCAACGATAAAGAATGGGTAATACTCGATAGATCATGGCTGAAACCAGACAATACCAGAAAGATGTTTACTTGTGATCATGCAAAGACATCCAATTGTGCGGATCACAACAAATTACGGGTAACACTGAAAAGAATGGGAATTCTAGGAACACTGAACTGTACCCATGTGGAACCTGTACACAGACCAAGAGGCAGCTGTTGGAACAGAACAAGAGGATTCTGAGTGTGTGGTTTAAAATCAGGAATGGTGTACGTCACGGTTGTATCCTTTCACCATACAGGCACACCTCGTTTTACTGCACTTCTCAGATATTATGTTGTTCACAAAATGAAAGTTTGTGGCAACCCTTAGCAAGTCTATCAATGACATTTTTCCAATAACACGTGGCTCACTTTGTGTCACTGTGTCACATTTGATAATTCTCTTATTTCAAACTTTTTCATAATGCTTGTTGTTGTTAGTTGTTGTTAAGTGCCGTCGAGTCATTTCCGACTCATAGCAACCCAATGCACAGCAGAAC